AATACAAATAAAATTAGTTAAGTGTCTTTATTAATAATCAACTAAAATAAAAAAAATCGAGGTACTTAACTGTACTCGAACAATCGGAGGGACAAAAGAAAAAAGAAGTAGTTAGGGTAAGTACTTTATTTCTTGTTTTTCATATTTATTCTTTATTCATTATTATAAAAGTAACTAAAACAAAGTATGGATCTAGAATAGTTGAAATAAGTAATAATAATAATATAATTAAAACTGTTAACGAAGCATGCATGCGAGCAGCTCATGGGTAATGTAATTCAATAGCGTAACATGACCTACACATTCCCCGAGTGATTTACAACTTATAATGCCGAGGATAGCAGTTAGACACGGTTCAAAGGGCATTAAAACAATTAAAATTTAATTATAAATAGATGTATAATGTAACAAACTTAGAGCTACTAAAGATAAACGAATGTGGTTTCATGTTACAATTTGAAGCCATACTAGAAAGAAAAGAAGGTTAATTTAGGTTTATTTTGATTTTATTTTGGTGGTTACGAGGTCGGTCAAATTGACCGATCCTGTTTTGAGATTAAGGTAGAGAAAATAACAAACTATATGGATTAAACGAAAAAAATGTTTGAAATGCATTTAGGAGGTTCTAGGGATTACACAAATGAAATTTGAGATTTTTGAGATGACAAAAAGTATTTTTAATTTTAACATAAATTACTTTGCACATGGACTATTCAAAACAAATACTCAATATATTCATGAACAAAACTTTATTTTATTTTATTAAAAATACTTCACTAAGAAATATGTGAAGTAATAAGTAATATTAATTGCAAGACTGCCAAATTTCCTGCCAATTTATAGAGTTATAAGTATTAAATTTATGTCAACTTTAAACGAGTACAGAAGGTCACGTGACTCAGTCAAATTGACCGACCCTGTGTCAGAAGAGTTAACCACAGATAAAAGTTTAGGTTGTGTTAGGGTGTTGCACAGTTACACATTGTCCTCTTCCCTAAAGATAATTGGAATCTTGAGTCTGTTTTAACAAGGCTTTTTCATAATTTCCAAGCATAGATTTGTGCTAATTTTTTACGTATTTTTCACAGCCATTGATAAGGTGTGAATGCACTTCCATGTCTTTAGCATAAAAAGTACCAAAATTTAGGAGCTATTTACACCTACGTTAGCAATTAAATTCAACTAAAACAGGAACAGGCATTATGATGACTTTTATAATTTTTTAGGATAATGTGATTAAACAACAGTAAAAAAAATTTAATTTAAAACAAGGAACTTAAATATATTAAATTTTTTTTATTTAGATTAAACAATGTGCCTTGATTATCTGCTGTTTCTGTTGTCCACGAGTTTTTGCTTTCCCCAGACTAGTGCAGATAATCAAGGCACCAGTGTATATTTATTTACTTTCACAGCAATGAGTGCATGCTAATGATCACATGATATCAACAATCACTTAATAGTATTGCCTGAACAAACTGCCTTTAGTCCCATTTGAGTAAACAGTTGTGAAAGGGTTAACTCTCTCTACACGTGAGGTGTCTGTACTTATTCAAAGTCTTTATAGATTTGACATTAATAATTGTTAACTCTCTCAACACAGGTTTGGTCAATTTGACCAACCATGTGATCTCTTTATACTCATTTAAAGTCTTTATAGATTTAATACTTCAAACTCTCAATATTGTGTGTATATCTTCACAAATTTGGCAGTCTTTCAGTTAACATTACAAGTCTTTTACATACAAAAAATATTTTTAGTGAAGTATTTTTAATAAAATAAAGATTACACACAATTTCCTAAACAGCAAATTCCAACCACCAGCCAATATACACACACACCATCCCCAAATTTCCCCTCATTATCTCCCTTCTTTTTATGGGTTTGCAATCCCTACCAATTAAAAAACAACTCTCTTCCTTAATAAAAACTTCTATCCTCAAATTCAGCTTAGAATAATATACAGACATAGAATCTGCATTAAGTACCTAAACTTCTACATTCATGGCTTGTGTATAAATATGTGCAGTGAATGTAAGGTCACGTACATTGGCAAAATGAAACGCCACTTAAAAACTAGTCTTTGAACATTTATGAGTATCTAACAGAACCAACCATCCACTACTTGAACCCAGCCACTCATCTATGACATGAATAACCCATCGGAAGCTCAGAATGTCCAATGTCCCCCTATTGGCTTTCTCCATTTTCCTTTGAACCAATGTTTCAATGAGATAGTGTGTGTCTTTAGTCTGCTCAAAATTTCATATTTTTTTAGACTGAAATACATCTTAGTTACTAAGCTTGATAAATTATTGTGAAATTCTATGATATTAATGTAGTAATTCATGACTTTTTAGTTATTCAAATGTATATATATATATATAAAACCTAAAAAAAATATTGTTTCATATCCTCCACATACAATTTTTTTAAAGGCTTAGCAACCTACATCAAGCAGCAACTGAGTACAAAGGTCTTAATTAGAAGAAGTAATTGTTTGCTTTACTTCTTTAGTTATTGTTCTATGTTTTAAGAAAAATAAGTTTAAGAACTTATTTCAAAATAGAAATAATCTATATACATATATAATGTATCACAATTGAAATTTGACTGTATTTTAAAAAATACTAGTTTACTAAAACAGTCAACACAAGTTATTTTGCACAGACCAAATGTTAGTTTTATGTTATTTGATACAGTAACATGAGGGCACGTGAGCTGCATCTTTGTAAATTCTGTATTGATAGCAAGGCATGGCTGAAAGGTCAATATAATAAAAATAATAAATAT